GTAAAAAAGTTTAAATTGACTCTCTTTCAAACAGAATATATAGATCGTATAACAAAAGGACTGCCACGCCCACATTTACATTTTTATTATTTGTGTCAGGTGCTTCTTTAAAAGAATTTTTAGGGTGCTCATTTGAAGAAGAACATTTGACATCAAAGAAGTCTCCACTTTGTCCCCAGTTACTCTTCTACTGTTACTTCAAGTACTTTACCGGGTAATTTCCCAAAACAAGCCCCCTCCCAGGGGCACAGCGGTATGTCTGCAGACTTACAACGCTAGAAACCGGGTTTCGATTTCCCGCGGTGAACAGAGCACAGATAGCCCATTGTGTAGCTTTGTGCTTAACTTCAAACAATCAGTCATAAGTACAAAAACAAATATCCAAATATATATATATATATATAAAACTTCAGTTTAGAAATCGCTAATTATATCATGAAAAATGTATATGTATACTTAAAACTTTTAAAACTTTGAAATGAATCTACAGTAAAAAAAACAAACAAACCTGTCTCGTCACTAAATTCTGGATTTTGGAGAACAGTAATACCAATTAATCCGGTTTTGTCTTCAGGTGTAGCAGCACAGTCGTCGTTTAAACCGGAAACTCGTGTCCTCTTCTGAGAAACTATAAAGTTAGATTTACACCCAAAAGCGTGAAATAACAACGGGAAACTATCTAGGTTTCCTGTTAAGTTGGTCTACTATGTCTAAATAAAAAGAAATGAGGGTGGCGAGGGTCACTTTTCTCGTGTCTCATTCATGCACGTTCCTGAAGAAACTATTTTTTTTACCCATGATTCACCGCGATAAGAGCTTAATGTTGTAGATACAGGTCTATTCCTATTTCTTTATTAACTGGAAAAAGATAAACTTCTAGAAGGAGTGGGAAAGCATATTTGGATCGTACAATCCGGAGATAATAAACCTATTTAGGCTTAGGTTCCGAGAAAGTGACGAAACACGTGTCTAAGTTTAAAATGGTTTGATATTCGCATAAAACAAAGTGTGGGTAGATAACCAGATAGATTAGTAGCTTGTATTGTTTCTTTGGAAATATGCGCGAAGATATTCAAGGGTTATCTGCCCTTGCCGCCACTAATTTAGCACTGGTGTAAAACTATTCAAGGCTATTTTTGGCACGTGAACCATTTTTGGACAGAAAAATGGATTCTCTATGCGAATATTAAACGCCAAAAACAACGGCTCAGCCCTAGACAAAAAAAATAATAAAAAAAACACTTCCGACCTAGAAACATGAACTTCATCCGCAGAAAGTGATGCTTTGCATTTGGTGGGACATCAAAGGAGTAATTCATTTTTTGCTTCAAAGCCAAGTGATTTCATTAATCAGAGCATTAACAACCTGGTTATAAGATGTAAAAGTATCATCGATAAGAATGGAGACTATTTCATTTAATAAATGTTTTGATATACAAGTTGTTCGGGTTTTTTTCATCTAAAAACGATTGAATATTCAGGTCCAACATTTATCCTCGGGTTATTACACATCAACTATTCATTAACTCACAGTTATTTTCGCTAATATTTTTTTTTCTTTTTAGTGTTTCAAGTAAGAAATATACTCTCAAACCTATAAAGTAGGCCAAACACGGTGAATAACGACGTACAAACCATTACATGCCAGAGGGAGCTGTAGCCTGTCTCGATGACGATTGTGTTTATTTGATCTGTTAGCAATATGTGTAATGTTTTTTATCTCGTCATAGTCCACTGACCTGAAACCTAAAAATTATTTTATAATGTCTATAAATTACTCCTAGTGTATCTTAAAGGAATTCTGGTGTTCAGCAGTTTGTGGTTTTAATCGTACATGTACACGAAAAGTTTTCCACTAGGAGGTAACGTATCTAGTACATAACCGGTTATGAAGAGAATTGTACAAAGTTGGTAAAATACATCCAACAAAAAGCATATAATCAATTGTTTAGCGAATATTTTACGTCAAACACGCTATGCTGGGCGTAGCCACGGGCTAGGCGTTCTCACACTGTCAATATGGAGATTCGAAGTTCGTGACCTGTTTCCGCACTCTTGCACTTTGAAGTCGTGGGTGTGTTATAAGTGTGGCAGTCATATACCATTGTTCGTCAGATAAGAGTGGCCTTAGCGTTGAAGATGGGCGCTGTTGACTGGCTGCCTTCCTTCTACTCTATTGCCTCAGAATTAGGGACGGCTATGCAGAAAGGCGAGCGTGTTTTCGATCCCTTAATCCACAGATTGCGAGTCAGGCGCCCTAACCGCAAGGCCGTGCCAGGCCCTGTTTAATTATTAAATAAGCATAATAAAATGTTTTCGAGTTTAAAGAATCCTACTTTTTGTGGAAAAGTCGAAACGTAAAATGAGTTCGCTTATAATCGGTTTTTTAGAAGGTTTCTATTAGTAATGACAAAATGTTGAGTGGATTTCTTGTAGAGTCTCAACCACTAACACTACACTGCGTGATATAAACAGACTCGTTACTGTATGAGTAACCATGGAGATAAACTGAATCACGTAACCATGGAGATAAACTGAATCACGTAACCATGGAGATAAACTGAATCACGTAACCATGGAGATAAATAATAATTTTACCGCTAGTTAGTCTAACCCTGTAACAAGATTAGCAGGACTGCGGAAGCCACGAGCCTGTTAGAGTCAGGATAAAAACAGAAAAATTGCTCCATACTGGTGGTGGGCAGACAAGATTATATTCGTCGTTATATATTTATATCTCGTATGTTTGTTTGTTTGTTGTTTAAGCCCAAAGCTACAAAATGGGATCTCTATACACTGCCCACCACGGGTATCGAAACCCGGTTTATAGCGTTGTAAGTCCGCACATTTACCGCTGTGCCACTGGGGGAGGGGGGTTATATCGTAGGAATGCTCCCAGTGACTCAGCGGTGAGTCTGAAGGCTTATAACGCTAAAAAAACGGGTTTCGATACCCGTGGTGGGCAGAGCACAGAGAGCCCATTGTGTAGCTTTGTGCTTAACAATAAACAAACACAATCGTAGGTATATATATATATATATATAGCTAATTCTAGGAAGAATATTTCATTAGCTCTATGCAAATAAAATCAGATTGTTTTCATCAGCTATGTTTACATATCATTAGCATATATATATGAAAAAAAAATTGCAGATCACGTTAAAAAATACATTATTCGTTGTACGTAAGTGTGTATGTTATTTCCCGTCTCTTCGAGCACGTTTTGATTGTTTACAAAAAAAAAACAATAACCATTTGAGTGGCCTTGGGAGAATAACTTATAAGCGATCAAATCTATATGTATTGTTCTCTGTATTGTGTGGTATGCGTATGACTTCCTGTTCACGACATTTCTAAACCACATCCATTATTTAAATGTTGATGAAAAACAGTTATTAAACTCTGTTATGGCGAATGTGAAAGTTGCTGTAAGTTTCATTCCAATAACAGAGTGTTTATCATTAGTTTTAGCTATTAAAAAAAAATATTAGAGTTTATGGGATGTGTGTTCTAGGCATGTGGTGAAACTCGGGTTCTATTTCACATGTGTGTTCTAGGCATGTGGTAAAACTCGGGTTCTATTTCACATGTGTGTTCTAGGCATGTGGTGAAACTCGGGTTCTATTTCACATGTGTGTTCTAGGCATGTGGTGAAACTCGGGTTCTATTTCACATGTATGTTCTAGGCATATGGTGAAACTCGGGTTCTATTTCACATGTGTGTTCTAGGCATGTGGTGAAACTTGGGTTCTATTTCACATGTGTTCTAGGCACGTGGTGAAACTCGGGTTCTATTTCACATGTGTTTTCAAGGCACGTGGTGAAACTCTGGTTCTATTTCACATGTGTGTTCTAGGCATGTGATGGAAATGGGTGAGGAGCAAATGATAAAAACGAGGGTCGAGCGTGCTAGATTGTGGATCCGTGGTTCAAGCCATGTTACCGCTAAAAAGAATAAAACCTCGCGTTCTGTACTTTAGGGTCATGAGTGCGTTATAAGAGTGACGGTCAAATTCCAATATTCGATTAGTGTAGCCCACGTGGTAGAGATGCCTTCCCTCTAGCCTATCATTTTAAAATTAGGGACGGCTGGTGCGGATAGCCCTCGAGTAACTTCGTTTGAAACTCGACAAACGACAATAAAAACGGAATAAAAAAAACACCAAAGAAAAGTATATCTCGTGTTTATTACTGCGTTACGAACTATTTTATTAATAGAAAACGAACTTATTCTGCTCCCACGTGTCTGAAGTCTGGTTAAACTGGAAATAAAAACGCATTATGTATTTGAATGAAAACGAAGTTTGGTAATAAAACGGATTACGATATTTACGAGTAAAATCATTATTTATTTAAAAGGAGACGTTTCAGAATTCTAGAGATTCCATCTTCGGAATATAAAGAAATTATTACATCAATATTTGGACATCATTAAAATTGCAATGCTACATTTAACAAAAAATATCGTATGGAAAGTGTGTAAGAGGAGAAGTTAGAGAAAGAAAACGTACAAAAATTAGGGGTAACATCAAGTTTATCTATACGTATTAAAAACGTGCAGTTTAAATGTGTTATTTAGGGTTAGAGAACGCTATTTGTTGTGGAAGGTTTCTTTAATCAATGATTCTAGACTAGTGATGGATTTGAAGAGGATAATGAAATAAGACACGTTGAACTGGCGTCCTGTTAACGAATAGAGGAAACACAGGGGGTACTCAATTTTTTATTTTTTTGCGTTCTGATGGAAATACCCATATGTTCATTAGCACTAATTTTCAGATGTCTTGTGGATTTAACAATGTAGGGGGCCTTACAGTCTGCACTCGTGCACAAGCCAAGAATCATGAGGAACTGAGTAAATGTATTTGCGTGATGTGGGTTTAAAATCTGATTTGAAATCGGGTTGAGATAATAACGTATTATACGTTATAACGTATAATTTGGAATGCAAGAATATACCAGAAGTTTCTGTACTGTTGATGGATTTATGAGTTTCTTAGTTAGAAAAGTATTGGTAATTTTCTCTAATAAATGTTGACGGTAAACATTAGAGTGTGGGCTAACATAACAGTTGTTTTAGATATATTAGTGTGGGCTAACATAACAGTTGTTTTAGATATATTAGTGTGGGCTAACATAACAGTTGTTTTAGATATATTAGTGTGAGCTAACATAACAGTTGTTTTAAATATATTAGTGTGGGCTAACATAACAGTTGTAGATATATTAGTGTGGGCTAACATAACAGTTGTTTTAAATATTTCTAAACCGTATGTTCTGTTGGTAAACAAAGGAACTACTTAGTACCATATGTTATGTTGGTAAACAAAGGAAGTACTTAGTACCACATGTTATGTTGGTAATTAAAGGAACTACTTAGTACCATATGTTATGTTGGTAATTAAAGGAACTGCTTGTACCATATGTTCTGTTGGTAATTAAAGGAACTACTTAGTACCACATGTTATGTTGGTAAACAAAGGAAGTACTTAGTACCATATGTTATGTTGGTAATCAAAGGAACTACTTAGTACCATATATTACGTTGGTAAACAAAGGAACTACTTAGTACCATATATTACGTTGGTAATTAAAGGAACTACTTAGTACCACATGTTATGTTGGTAATTAAAGGAACTACTTAGTACCATATGTTATGTTGGTAATTAAAGGAACTACTTAGTACCATATGTTATGTTGGTAATTAAAGGAACTACTTAGTACCACATGTTATGTTGGTAATTAAAGGAACTACTTAGTACCATATGTTCTGTTGGTAATCAAAGAAACTGCTTAGTACCGTATGTTCTGTTGGTAATTAAAGGAACTAATTAGTACCGTACGCTCTGTTGGTAATTAAAGGAACTAATTAGTACCGTACGCTCTGTTGGTAATTAAAGGAACTACTTAGTACCATATATTACGTTGGTAAACAAAGGAACTACTTAGTACCACATGTTATGTTGGTAATTAAAGGAACAACTTAGTATATAGAGTTTTATAACAGTCTAAATATTACAGACCTTGTAATATATGGAATGATACTACTGATATTTCTGAATGTGTTTCTATTACACTGAAGCAAAACGATTCTTAGAGAGATAACTAAACGAGATAACTTAAGAGTTCCTTAAATTGTTTATACAAATGTTGCTTGTGTGCGTCAAGCAGGGAAGTTAAGCCTACTTTAATTCTTATCAGTCACGCACAAGAACACCAACAAACAGCTTTCCACATTAACTGAATCTCCACAATCACGACATTTGCGTTTTAACTCTATAATTTTGTTTACATTTGGTTAAACTATCTAGTATATCAGGCCTTGACTGCGAGACCACAGTGCTTTCTTTACAACAAATACTTGTAACTTCCCTAGTAGCTCCTAGGTGGCTGACAGTAACAAATCCTTGACTATATAGGTCACGTTCTAGAAGAGGAAATTATAAATCAGTTCTTTCACTTATTGGTATGTAAGGTTAGTCACTTGGTTAATTTATCACTTGGACTAGGCCTAAGTATATTCTAGTAATACAAAAGCATGCATACTTTTAAAGTGTTTGTAAATATATAGGGGGAGGTAAGTTTCCTTTTTAATGCAAGTATAAATCACACAGATAATCTATTGACAGTTTCATTAAGTTAGAAGAAGTTCACAAAGATAAATAATTTATCAAAATAAGTAATGTGGGAATTCAATGAACTAAAAGAACCTTTAACAAAAGGTATCGTACGTATCCCTCCCTTCTCGAGTTTCTTGCAACAAACATTTGTATTTTTAAACAACGTTACGGATACATGGATTTTTAAACTGTATTACAAATACTTGGAATCTTAAACGATATACGAGTACGTGGATTTTAATACAATACAAACATAAACACCTGGATTCTTAACCCACAATACAAACACAAGGATTATTTCGAGGGGTCGATAAGAGATTTTTACCTACCAAGATTTTTGTTGTTGTTTGTTCTGAACCATAAAAAAAATGGAAATCGTTCCAAAGCCTTGATATGTAAGTTTTAAAAAACAATCAAACAAAAAAGCATGAAATTGTGTATATAATTATAAAATATATCCAACATGTGAAGAATAGCTGATGTTTCGTTGAAAGACATAACCATAACTCAAGGACTGTGTATTGATTTTTGTTTAATCCTTTACTTCGTACATAATATAGGGGTTCGCTCCCTAAAGACACCTATTGTATAGTGTACAAAGCATTGAGTATCTACATGCTACAGTCATCTAATGTTGCGATCCCTATTATGAACCACTAACATGGTTCATGATATAAGGTATTGATTAACAATATATAGAGAAAGAGAATAACAACACAAAGTAAAACACAGTTAACTAACATACCTGTAGTTATACCTAAGTATGCAGTATCACTAATGTACCTGCAGTTATACTTAACTATGTAGTATCATATATACATTTATAGCTATTCGTAAATATGCAGTATTGCAGAATGAATGCTATGGAACTTCAGTTTCTTGTAAAACTTGCAATCCGGTAACCTCTGTAAAAAATTACCACTTTGAGTCGTTTTTGTTTCTGTGGTGATTATTAAATTTAATTAATCACTGAATCTTTAAACTGACGCAATTCTATATATATTTCACATTTAGACAACAATATTTTACAGACGCTATGTTGACGTCTTTCTTGGATCGAGTAATGAAGTTCAACAATTTAATTGTTGGATCAAAGGGTGAAGTTCAACAATTTAATTCTTGGATCAATAAATGAAGTTCAACAATTTAATTCTTGGATCAAAGGATGAAGTTCAACAATTTAATTCTTGGATCAAAGGATGAAGTTCAACAATTTAATTCTTGGATCAATAAATGAAGTTCAACAATTTCTTGAGTACTTCAACTTGTCTCGAAAGTTTTCCTGTGAAATTGAAGAACAGATTGGAGGTTCCAATTGTTTCCTGCTCTTCTTAATTTCAAACTATCACCCATCAAATTCGCTGACTTGCATAAATATAAAATGTACAAATGGTATTTTAAGCTGAAGTTTTGGTATCAAAATTATAATCTAACATTTATTAAACAAATTGTAAACATCTGTGTTAAAACAATGTTGGATATAATCGTGTTTATAATCTTTGTTCTACACATAATAAATCCGCTTTAACAGTCTCTATCCTAAAAAATATAATAGTTTATAATTTTCCTAACACAAAAACTAATCTTCTTTACATTTTTTTCCCCCAAAGAAGTAATCTCCGTTATATTTTTCTTCTACAAAACATTTAACACCTCTCTAATCCTCCTTATAATCCACTAATACATTTTATAATCTCCGCGTTCAACTTATATATCCATATGTTCGACTTAATCGTTATTTGGTTATTAAGATAATTAAGGTGTTATTAAGAGAAATTTAGTGTTGACAGAACTTGAGTTTTTTATTAAATTGTTTTTCTTTGGAAACAGTTTTTGTTGTTGTATTTCTATAAACTATCATTGAACTTTGACCCAAAGAAATTTGTTTTCTATTATTTAATTTTTTATTTGTTTTGTTTGTTTGTTTGTTTTTAATTATGCACAAAGCTACACAAGGGCTATCTGTGCTCTGCCCACCACGGGTATCGAAACCCAGTTTCTAGCGTTATAAGTCCGCAGACATACCGCTGTGCCACTGGGGGCCTAATTTTTTTTTAATCCTTCAATGATAGTGTTGGACGTATCATATCTAATGATCTGATAATTCCTCACTACGCTAAATTATATTCCTAGGATATATTCCTGTAATTTTCTTTACTTTGAATCGTGGTGCTGACTTTATTATCATATCTAATGATCCAATAATTTTGTTAGGAGTAGATGTACCTTATTAACGTAGACGGAAGTGGGCGGTTGGCTGAGATCTAAATTGATAAAACAGATTTTAAAGTATCGTTAGCCTTGTTAAAGGATTGGAGAAAAGGCTTGTGTTAGAAATGTCCTACTTGCACTAGTCAGTTGAATACTTATTTACGTTTCTTACGGGGATTAGCATACCGAGCAGCAGTGAGGTCACGTGGTGACGTCATGTATAGAACTCGTGAAATTAGATGAGGCTGAGGAACTGGTGGCATCACGTCTTGAAGAATAGAGATGTGAAAGTATTATTTTGTACACTGTGGTAAAAAAAAGAAAAAGAAAGAGTTGTGTTGTTGGAATTTTAGCATTCTGTCCACTGCTGGGAATCTAACTTCGGATTTTAGCGTTGAAAGTCTAAAAACTGACCACCAACCCACGGTGAAATAGTGAAAAGTTAAATTGCCCAAACGTTAGAAAGGGCAGGTATGTTTGGTGGGACGGGGATTCCAACCCATGACCCTCCACTTGCGAATTAACTTGTTTCTTTATAACAGCTACTGTTAGTTGATGTTTCTTTATAACAGTTGCTGATAGTTGATGTTTTTTTATAACAGCTGCTGTTGGTTGACGTTTCTTTATAACAGCTACTGTTGGTTGATGTTTCTTTATAACGGTTGCTGTTGGTTGATGTTTCTTTATAACAGCTGCTGTTAGTTGATGTTTCTTTATAACAGCTGCTGTTGGTTGATGTTTCTTTATAACAGTTGTTGTTGGTTGATGTTTCTTTATAACAGTTGCTATTGGTTGATGTTTCTTTATAACAGCTGCTGTTAGTGGATATTTATTTATAATAGCCGCTGCTAACATCACTGATTAATAACACACAGAAAAGCTCTCTGTGTAATAAGCCTTCTATCAGACACTCAATCTGAGGCTAACAGTAGTCACAGAAAGGAGATGGATTTTATACAAAAGAAACTTTTGTAATAAACTTAATGAGCAGAAAATCTGCCACGTGTAGGTCACCTAAACACAGATCACCATCAACCCCATATCCAGAACTTGGTGTTCACAGATCACCATCAACCACATATCCAGAACTTGGTGTTCACAGATCAGTATCAACCACATAGCCAGAACTTGGTGTTCACAGATCAGTATCAACCACATATCCAGAACTTGGTGTTCACAGATCAGTATCAACCACATAGCCAGAATCTGGTGTTCACAGATCACCATCAATCACATAGCCAGAATCTGGTGTTCACAGATCAACATCAACCACATATCCAAAACTTCATAATTTCAAACAAGGCGCCCTCGGGATCCTCAGGGGACCAGGGACACAAAATATGCTGCTAGAATTGGATTCAGTGACCCTGAAAACTTGCCCTTAGGTATCCATTATGCCTAGCTGACCTTCCGAAGACGTTTTATCCCCCTTTGTAGGTGACTGCGCCTAGATATTGAAATCCATTGGACCAGCTCCAGAATTGGGAGAGGGGGGAGTTAGCTGGAGATACATACATGCAAAGCCACAAGTTGAGTTATTGTTGGATTATCATGGTGATATATATATATATATAGTTTCAACAGTTCCCATTATACGGCCTTTTCAGCCCTACGTGAATGGCATGCCACCACCTTTTACAGAGTGTACCATTCAACTTGCTGTATTTGATATCAGTGTTATTAACTATTCATTCTACCCCACCAAGGCTGACATAGCGTGGTGGTTATGGCACTCGACTCGCAAGCTACTGGTTGTAAGTTCGAATCCCGTAACCAAACGTGTTCTCCCTTTCAGTTGTGGGTAAAGTGTAGTCCAAGAGTTGGCTTCCTTCCCTCTAGTACATCAGTGCTAAATTAGGGGCGGCTAGGGCAGATAGCCCTTGAATAGTTTTACATCAGTGCTAAATTAGGGGCGGCTAGGGCAGATAGCCATCGAATAGTTTTACATCAGTGCTAAATTAGGGGCGGCTAGGGCAGATAGCCCTTGAATAGTTTTACACCAGTGCTAAATTAGGGGCGGCTAGGGCGAAGAGACGAAGCAACGTTCACACGTTGAAAACGATGATCATCGGAGAGTTCGTGAGGCACCCAAACACCTTCTTTGTGGAGTTTTTCCATATTCCTTAGATGTTTACGTATTTTTTCATGAGAGACATGCAATTTCAGGGCCATTTCACGAGTTTGTTGCCTGGGGTTAGACTCAACAAGCGTCTTCAGAGCATCAATATCAATTCCAACATGTCGGCCCCTGCCATCACAGTTTTTAAGGCTAAAGTCATCTGAACGAAATTTGCTGAACCATTGTTGATACTTACGAACGTTCAAAACATTTCCATAAAATTATTTGATATTCTTTGTGGCTACAGAGGCGTTGTTTTCCTTCTTGTATTCAAACAGCACTACATGCCGAATGTGTGTCTCGTCGTGTGCCATCACTATAAGGGATTAGAGTATACTAAACTTTACACATTATATAGGCTACACTAATGTAAAGTTTAGGCAGTTCATTTAACTATTATACGTGATATACATTTTTTGAGGTGGTGGTTAATAAAAGTGTTCCATAATGCAACATTAATTTCTTGAGGATCTAATAGTAACACCAACTACATACTGAGTGGCTAATTCATGTTGTTTCATAAGTTGATATTGTAGTAACACCAACTACATACTGAGTGACTAATTCATGTTGTTTCATAAGTTGATATTGTAGTAACACCAACCACATACCGAGTGACTAATTCATGTTTTTTCATAAGTTGATATTGTAGTAACACCAACCATATCTTCGGTGATTAATTGCTGTTTCTTAAAGAGTAGACATTTAGTGTCACATATTACTAGATTATTGTCATGCCTGGGATGGAAGTGGCAGTGTTTGAGACTAGTTACTCAGTACAAGTTTGTGAGAGTTGATAATTTCTAGTGGCTAGATTGATTGGAAGCTATAGAAAAATCATGCAAATCAGAAGAAGCCAAACAGTATGCTATGAAGCTAACTGTCTTTGTCTGAGCATCTAGATGAAAAACAGCACCAGATCCATCACACAGAACAAGTTTAACTGTGACCTTTCTACATCAGTGTAAGCTGCTAATGCTTTACTCATAAAATGGTATATTGTCCCAAATGTGTTGCACCTGCCTCATCATTTCCATAAACCCAGAGTTGAAACTTAACAGGTGTATTACTATCAGCATGCTTGATTATTTTCTGTAACTTTTATATGTAACCCAGTATGTGTATTTCAAGTTCATCTTTTCCATGTGTAAACTCCTAAAGATCTCGCTGCCAAATATCTTTGGTACAAACATCATTCTGGTTTTAGTGAAAGTTGAAAACAATACTTGAGCACTTTCATCAGAACCTACTTGTTTACTTATCATTTATTTTTATTTGTTACTTAGGCACTAGTCATATGCTTCCAGTTATTACTTGTGCACCAATCATATGCTTTTAATGATGTATTCACTTGTCATATGCTTCCAGTGGTTACTTGTTTACTGATCATATACTTCTAGTGATTATTTGATTACTATAAACTGTTTACTTTTTTTTCTCAGGGGTGTTGAAGCTAAACAGCCAAACTCTGCTATTAGAAAATGTGTGCGAGTCCAGTTGATCAAAAATGGAAAGAAAATCACAGCTTTTGTGCCAAATGATGGTTGTCTAAACTACATTGAGGTATCATATTTTGTGAAATTAAATATCTAATACAAAACTTTTCATTTGGCTGTGAGTTAAAGTTGTGTCAGATTCTCGTGTTTGTGAGAGCTACAGATCACTGCTGGAAAGAGTGATTGCTCTTGTCAATATCTAGATTGAAATAAGGGAAGTTTTATCAATATCATTGTATTAAGCTTATTTTAACTTTTGGGACAAATTATTGCAGGTAAATATGTTGTGTACAACATGCTATTTCATCTGCTGCTGCCTTAACCCTTTCGAGACAGGTCATGGGTGAAAAGCCATATCATCTTGTTTATTGACTCACATTCAAAATTTTATTGAACTACTATTTTATTAATTTATGTCAATAATTTTTGGTATCAAACTGTAGAATATAATTTAAATTTTAGTACTATAAATTAATCAATGTCTTAATTTAAAAGCAAATATTAAAAAAAACAGATAAAAATCAATTTTTTTTGTGTCACTT